CCCCAAAATTCACAGCATTGTTGGCATTTATTTCATAACCCAACGAAGGCACATGATGGAGAAGTCTTGCATTTTCCGCCAAAGAAGAGGATACAAATAAATTTGAAGCAGACAGTTCCTTTTTAAAAGGAATTAACTTCTACTATTCGCTCAGAGTGCTAAAACATGTCTTTTAAAACGATTATTTATTTAGTACATTTCTATACCGCCCCTTCTCAGCCTTCCAGCGACTCGAGGCGCTTTACAAGGCAAGAATTCAATGCCGCCAAGGACACAATTACAATATACAATATAAAAAACATCAGCAACAATAAAATCAAACATTATAATGAAACATACTTCAGTTGATAATCATTAAAACAATGAACCATATATTTATTCCATTATTATATCCGTTACTCCATATTTTCAAATGCTCGTTCAAATAGCCATGACTTAAGATTCTTCTGGAATGATAGGAGTGAGGAAGCTGATCTAATCTCCCCAGGAAGGGAGTTCCATAGCTGAGGGGCCACCACTGAGAAGGCCGTCTCTTGTTCCCGCCAACCGTACTTGTGATGATGGCAGGACCGAGAGAAGGGCCTCTCCAGATGATCTTAAAGTCCTTGCAGGTTCATAAGGGGAGATTCGTTCGGACAGGTAAGTTGGGTGAATCATTATATCTCATTCATTATAGTTTGAATAATAATAATAAGAACAACAACAACATCAACTTCTTTAATTTTTGTACTCCGCCTCCGTCTCCTCAAAGGGACTCGGGGCTGCTTACATGGGGCCAAGCCTGATCAACACAATTAAAATATAGCACATTAAAATGCATAAAACAAACATTATAGAAGTATATAAAAACAGGCATCAAAACAAACAACCAACAATAAATATTAATTTTCTTGTCACAGGTGGACAGATTGGTGCAACAACAATTTAGAGGAGAATAAAGTGCACCAAAATGTTTGGGACTGGAAGTCTTTTGGATTATGGATTCCCCCCCTTCCCCCAAATATAACAATACCCGTATTTGCATGTGCGCACATCATGACAAGCTTTTGAGATTGATCAAGACCAAACATAAAATTAATTTCTCTTCCATATACATCTTATGCACGTGGCCTGAAAGTGGTTTTATGCAAATTCAAAAAATAACTTTGTGCATGGAATAAAAGTTGTATAAATTGAAAGCAAAGGAGTCACTATCTCAGCCACCCTAAGATAGACTCAACCTTTACGGTTTGTTTGTTTTTTAAAAAAATAGATAACTTATAAAGTTTTGCTCAAAATTTCTCTAAAATACATACAAAAATAGCATACAAGTAATTAGAAAGCATCGTTTATTGCATAGCAGCATTGCTTGAGTATCTTCTGTACTTTTACTTACTTAGGCAATTCATCGTTGTCCAAGTATGATGGTCTTCCAAGTGTAGTGCCTTGGCGGTGGATATGAAGGCGGCCCGCATGTTCTTCCACAGTTAGGACATCAGTTTCCAGGAGGAAGACAGTTTTGGTAAAAATTAGCTTGATGTGCCTTCCTCTTACCACGTTTCACCCTTTTGCCTTCCATTCATGCCTCTTCAAATTCCACAGAACTGCTGGTCATAGCTGACCTCCAGTTAGCTCAAGGGCCAGGGCTTCCCAGTTCTCGGAGTATATGCCAGTTTTTGAGGTTAGCTTTAAGCTCAAATTTAAATCTCTATTCCTGTCCATTGGCATTCCATTTTCTGTTCTTAAGTTGGGAGCATGGTAACTGCTTTGGGAGACAATGTTCGGGCATTTGGACAATGTGGCCAGTGCAGCGGAGTTGAAGGTGGAGGAC